CTCACATCAAACCAAAACAAATAAATGATCAAGATGATGCAAAGTTAAATGTGACTCTGTAACTTTTAGTTATAAAACTAATAAAATGAAGTCTAAGGAAGTTATCATCCAGAATTGCAGAAAAATGTTCCTTTAATAGGAGAGAGCAGTAAAGCTTCTGGCCTAAACAGTTTTTCCTACATTACTTTTATACTTTAAATAGTTTTTAAAATGCTGCTTTTACACTTTTACTGGAGTAAAAAGCTAAAGTTGATCCTCTAACTTCTACAGAGTGTTTTTAAACAGCAGGATTTATACCGGAGGAATAAACATGAACACTTTGGAAAGATCCACATTACTAACCAATAAGATGTGAACCAGGATGCAGCTCCCATCCTATCCGGGTCAGAAGCCTGGTTTGCTGCTGGGATCCTGAAATGTTTTTTTTATAAAGTAGCATCAGGTAATTAGAGCCAGTGTCTGTTAAAGGCCACGGTGGCTCAGTGGGAGTTTGAAAGTTGTAGGTTTGATTCCGGTTGTTGTAGGTTGGTGTACTCCTGGTCAAGGTACTTTTCTCCAATCCTTGTGATCGACGAGTTTTTAGTTTTTCACCTTGCTTTGAAAAAGTATTAAACCCTTTGAACCTAAAGTTGTTTTATTTGACAGACTAACTGCAGATATGCAAAGGTTTATAAACAATATGTTCCTAAAAGGTACAGAAATATAAAAAGATTGACCAGTATGGAGTTCAAACCTGATATTTACACATGATGTTTTTCCTGTCACATTTAATCAAACAAACCTTTTTTAGATCTGCTGGGATTATGGAAATGCTTTTTATTAGTGCCAGAATACATTAACATTCATCAAAGTCAGCCATCTCTCTATAATTTATAGAACTGACCTATGCTTCAACCTTTTCAGGTCCCTTTGCTGCTGACAGTAGTTTGCTGTTCCTGAGTCGCTCTGCAGGCCACATTGGTCCCAGCTTCCTGATGGTCGCTCTAAAACTCTCATCACTGACACAGATAATGAAAGATTTTCCTAAAATATGGCACCAGTAGAGACTTTATCAAGTTGTTTTACACGACTTATCAGTCTGATTAGTTAAAGTTGGCTAATTTTAGCAGGGGGGAGGGGCCGGTCATGTGACAGTGATGCAGGACTGATGAGTTTTTACCCAAAGCAGAGAATCAGTGTCAGCTGAGGGGCCATTTTATCAGTGTCCCCAGTAGGTAGACATGGTATATATCTATATCTATACATAGATATAGATTTAAATATATCTATATACACTACCGTTTAAAAGTTTGGGGTCACATAGAAATGTCCTTATTTTTTAAGGTAAAGCACTGTACTTTTCAATGAAGATACTTTTAAATTAGTCTTAACTTTAAAGAAATACACTCTATACATTGCTAATGTGGTAAATTAACTATTCTAGCTGCAAATGTCTGGTTTTTGGTGCAATATCTCCATAGGTGTATAGAGGCCCATTTCCAGCAACTATCACTCCAGTGTTCTAATGGTACAATGTG